TTTAAGCTCCAAAGTCTTTTAATAAAATGTTTGTGGTATTATAATGAACATAAGCCTCCTTAAATGAAAATCACCAGCTCCCAAACTTAACCCAGTGGCATTTCCTGATTCCAGATTTAATGGGTACCATTCAAATTTGGGTTTTGGCTATTCACGGTAGTTAAGCTGTAACCTGGAATTTTGTGGGTATTTTATATTCTAAATAGAGTACACAGCATAGGCAAAAATCTTTCCCAGAACACTGCAAAATGCATTCATGTCTTCTTCAACATTTACAAGGTTCCAGTGTCCTGCTCAGGATATTTGCCTTACAGCTTTCAGCATTTCCAGTGAAATAAACCAAAACATGCAAATTTCACTTCTTCTTGTTGTTCTAAAATAAAAATAATAACATCTAAAGGAAATAGCTTCTATGACAATTTTAGCCAAAAAAAAAAAAACACACTCCAAAAAACAAAACCAAGAATTGGTGGAAAGAACCAGCTGCTGAAGAGGTGGCCACTTTGTTTGATATTGAAAATACTCTGATTGGACAGGCGGGCCAGGAAAACTTTGAAGCCCCTGGTTTACAGAAAATGATCCATGGTATTAGTCATGATTGACAACACATAAAATACATGTGAGGCATATAAGCTTCTATTTCTAATCCCTCTAAAGTTGCAAGATGGGAGGATCTGGAATAAGAACATGTGACCATGGCTACATGGTGGTGACTAATTGGTTATAAAGATCATGCCTCAGAAACATAAGATTCGATGAAAATTTATGTTAAGGATTCCTTTTCTCTCTGTTAGTGCAATTAAGTACAGTACAGCTTGTTAGAACAATTTGATTACAACTTGTGTATCAAAGCAACTAAGGTATGTGTATACTCCTACTCGATGAAGGATATTTGTGTAACCTTTAATTACCATGTCTACTTATCATCTGTACAGGTAGTTCTTGCTTAATTATGTTAATCAGGATTTGCAACTCCATCATAAAGCATAAAGGTAATAAAGCATGATGTATATGATTGCGCCATATTATACCAGTCCCAGTTCTAATTGCTGTTCTGACTCTAGAATGGTCACTTAAGCACAATGGCATGTGGCCAACATTTGTCACTGAACAAGTTATCATTAAGTAAGGACTACTTGTATTGTAACTGAGTACCTTTGGTTAATCTTCTATATAAGATAATGCAGCTTTTCTTCAACAAGAGATCAGTGACTTGGTATAATGCCTAGCTTTGGACTAATAAAAACGATTGTTTGGATAATTTGGCATTTGGACTAAAACATTTGGCATTTCTTGGTGTGCCAGAAAGATTTTCCTCTAGAAAGGAAACAGCAATATTCCCTAGAGAAGACGGAAAGGGAAGAAGGGAATCACAAAACATACATCATGTAGTCACAATGCAAATTCCATGACAAACTTGCATCCCAATGTCTGATGCAAATATCTAAGCATGTTTTTTGCCCGATGCTATCGATGCACATGTATCATTGTAATATAATCTTGGTTTATGCTGCTAAACCCAGACTGCTGTTAATGATAAAACTGGGAAAGTTTAAATTGTGGTATCCCAACAGTCTGCTCTAAGGCAGAATGTATACTCACAATCATTTACAAATGCCATATATATCAAGTTGGAGAAAGAAAGGGATGGAAATATTATGAGGAATCTTCTCACACTGAGATTTCCCTTCATTCTCAAAATCTGAAATGACCGCAATAATTTAATATTAAAGATTAAATTTTAAAGGCATATGGTTACAATTTATAAACCAGAGTAACAAAACTCTTAAAAGAGAGAGCAAAGAAATGCCCCCTGCCTTCCTTAAAATTACCCCATAACAATATAATAAAGAGCATCAAGTTAACCCGTTTTGATTGATGGCATAACTCTCCGTGACTCAAAGACCATATTTGATATGCAGTCAGTATTTACACACAACAAAAACCATACAAGTCACATAAATATTCCCTTATAGAAACTTGCCCTGGTTTATATTCATTTCAACATATTTTGTCTCCTTCCTTGTGCACAGTAATATCTGAAATAGATATTATTTGGCTTCAGATAGTAGCTCTAGGCTGTTCTTATTTTGTTTCCTAGCTCAGACAAAAGCAATTGCTCTTCCCACCTCACACCCTGAATGGATTCATTGCCATTTCCTTAGATACAGATAACTTGAAAGGAACATGATATAAGGATACCGGAAAACTTAATAATTGCTCCAAGGTAACAATGAATCCATGATCTGTTTTGGTACAGGTGCTTGCATAAATAATGATCATAATTAACTTGATTCTATCTGGGGGATTTTTTTTGGAAACGTGATCTTCTAACAAATAAAAACTTGACAATAATGAAGACATTTTGTGTTTGTCCCTCACTATGGATTTTCAAAGACATGAGACTTTATACAGCCCTCTAGATGTTGTTGAATATAGCTTTAAGCAATACTGCCAGTAGTCAAGAGATGCTGAAAGCTGAAGTTGAGAAACGTCTGGAAATCCACAGATTTAATATACCTGCTGCTCTATTTTTATATATTGGTTTGATTGATTTGGGCTGTTATTAAAAGAAGGCCCAGTAGAGCATCAAGTATATGACAGAGACTATTAAAAAGTTATAAAGACAATTCTAATAATCTTTCTAACTTCAGAATATTGAATCATTAGTTGGCTGATTCTTGTATATTCCAATAACTTTTAAAAAGCCAGTTTATGACATTGCTGTGGTGGCTCATGTCTTGATCACCACACACCTGGATTACCGCACTGTGTTCTCTGTGACTGCCTTTGAAGACTGATCAGAAACCTGATTGTCAGTAAATTTCTGGAGGCAGACCTAAGTGCTGGATTGATTTATAAACCCTTATATGCAGGGGTGGGCTGTTGGGGGTTTGCAGGGGTTCGGGAGAGCCCCTAGCTAAGATTCTGTGCAGTTTGGAGAACCCCCAAATCTCACTCCTGGCTGGCTGGCCCTGCCTACACCTCCCCTCCCAGGAGTCCCACATGACCCCTTTTGGATGCAGGTAAGTGCAGGACACATGTGGAGGCTCGGGGACGGTGAAAAATGGGCCTCCTGGAAGTTCGGGGTGGTTGGAAATGGGCCTGTTTCTAGCTTCCAGAGAGCTTCTGGAGCCCACGGAGACCATTTTTGCCCTCCTGTAGGCTCAAGGAAAGACTCCGGAGCCCAGGGAGGGAAAAACCGCCCCCCCTGCCGTGGTGCGGGAGGCCAACTAGGCCACATCCACCATGACTATGCCCACCCAGCAACCAGGAAGAGAACCCTTTGCTAAAATTTTTGAAGCCCACCCCTGCCTAAATGGCTTGGCACCCAGGTTCTCCACAGGACCATCTTCTCAAATTTGACCCATGCAGGGTGTCTCTCCTGGGGAGAACTTTTAGTAATGTCTCACTTCTTGAAAATAAGGGGATGATAGCCCTTGTCCTCTGGAAACATCTTCACTCAGAGGCTATATTGTCTTCATCTTTAACAAACTTCAATATGGACATACCAGGTTACTCCAGAAAGTGTTGGAATGTATTACCCTGTTTCTCCAACAATACGGCCTCCCCCAATAGGAAGTCCCAGCATGTTTTATAGGCATGAAATGAAATTAAGCCCCTCCCCCCAAATTAAGGCCTATATTAAAACATGCGAAATGGGGGGGAAATGGTGGGGGGGCTTGCTGTTAGGAAGTACTTTTGTTGCACACCCGGATATGGTGCTGCCTGCGTTGACCTTGATACAAAGTGCCCCATGAACGCCAAGGTCAACATCCAAGCCGTCGCCGCCCGCCCGAAGATGCAAGGGGGGGGAATTAAGTCACCCCCCAAAAGACGGCCTAGCCATTTTTGGGGGGCTCAAAAAAAAAAAAAAGACCTGGCCTTATTATATGAGAAACATGGTATTATCTCAACAGGGTTCTGTTACATGATTTAAAATTAACTTAATTTTAACTTTATTTTACAGTGAACGTTGTTTTGTTTTATAATGTGAAATAAAATATACAGTATTTTAACCTCTGAGTCATAAGGTACCAATATACATACATATACATACATACATACATACATTTGAGAAGTATTTTCTTTTGAGAAAGGAATGTTCTTTTCATCTTCTCTCTTTACTTTGTCTTTTATTTTATAATTATTAAATTCCAAGCAATGCACAGGTCTATCAACTCAGTTTCTTTGATTGAAGGTCAGAAAGAGTTAAAAAGTTCCTCCCAATAAAATGATTTGACCATGCATCTTTGTTAATTTTTATTTTAGAGTTTGGAGGCGGTGTTTTAATTATTTTGTGTGTTGCCTAGTATACAATATAAGCAGCTACCCACTTTGTATTTTAAAATAAGTGCATTTAAAAAAAAATGTATATACCAAAAAAATAATCATTGTCCAAAGAGGCTCTTTTGAGCATTTCAGTCAATATAAATACATTTTAAAAAATAACTAAGGACAGTTATTTCCAGTTGTTAATCACTGCTGTGCAACAAATGTGAGTAACAAAAGTTTTCTCATGCAATAGAATTAAATTAATGTAAAAGTCTTCAGACCAATTTGGCACATTGAATAACAAAGAAAAGTCAAAGTTCCTGTAGCTTCTCAGAGTAAAAACACCAAAGTAACAGTCTGTGAAGGATGAAAGCACAAGTGTCAGAGGCAATTTAGTTCATTTCTCTCAGTGACATTCCTAAATGAAAGTTTGGGTAGTATTAAAATAAATGTCCTTTTCCTTTTAAAAAAAAATAAAAATCCACTACCCAAACCGATATCAGTTACTCACAATGCAATCCCCCTGACAAAAATAGTACGATCTCACAATATATATAATTTTTTAAAAAAATAAAGAAATTCCCACTGGGGGGAAAAAAAGTGGGAGGGATGAGAAACTCAAAAGAGCAGTGCCGAAGTCAGCAACAACATCACACTGTAAGGAGTCTGTGCTAGTCATCAGAGAGGGAATATAATGTGGCTTTCTTACTGCTGGGACTTTGCTGGGAACATCTGAAATAAAAGAGAAAAGGAGCGAAACTGGACTTCATCTCTTGCTTGTACCTGACTCTTTAGACCAAGTCTGCCTAAAGATTGGGGTGCAGAAAAACTCAAGAAAAGCAAGCAGTCTTTCTGGCTGAAGAAAAAAGAATTTAAACAATTCTACATCAAGGTACTGCTGATTGTTTCTCTCTAATGCCCTTTGGGATCAGTTTGGGGAAAGGATAGTAGAGGGAGGGAAGGAAAGATAAATTTATATTTTAGATAATTTGGTGGTGGAGGTTATGCCAATGGGGAGATGCTCAAAAGGAAGAAAATGTTCCAATTCTTTGTCTAATTGATGTATTCAGAGTTTGCAAACACAGATCAATGGTGCCTCCCCAAGTTTTGATAAATATTACCTGATGGCCTCAAGAGTAGTTCTATAAGGATTTGTGTATTTTTTTAGATATGTATTTTTCAGCCCTACTTGCATTTTCTCCAATAACTAGATGTGTTAACTCAAAATTGCACAACTATTGTGACAGCTGATGCACTATCCTTATTTGGGAGTCCAGAAAGAATTTTATGTAGGAAAATCCTCCTAAGAAACCAGTATGTGTATATGAACTGCTACCATCTCTCTCTTTCTCCCTTCCCCCCTCCCCAAAAGCTTTTGTGCTGAAGACTGCAGGGTCTTTAACACTTTGAAGAGCACTAGCATTATACAGCCTGTCACGGCAGCTCACCTTCTCCCTGAGAGATTAGATTCCTAATAAATTTCTAAAATGTGGTTTGTGTCAGGCTAGTAGCAACATGTACAGATTGCTCCAAGCAAAATCTGCCTGAAGATGGTTAGCTGCTATTAGTTGCATCCCTGGAACTGAAATGAAGCCATTTCAAATTTGGAGAAGAAATTGGGAAAATACCTTTAGGACCTTCCTTCCTTCCTTCCTTCCTTCCTTCCTTCCTTCCTTCCTTCCT